GATAGAACCACCAATATCCCAATAGTGCCGTGACGAAACACTGCTCCGTCTCGCCGATCGTCGTGTGCTTTGGCTCGCACAGCTGGAGGCGTGTCTCATGGCGGCGGGGCTAGATGGTGTCGTCGCCTTGAAGGTCCTCCGCTCTACCTGTCGGGCCCGGGAGACGAGCGGGTGATGCTGGCGCACCCGCGCGGCCTTAGCTGCTGTATCTGGCGTGCTTGAAGTGGCAAGGTGGGAAGTACCGGTTGTGAAAGTAGTGGAAGGCGTCGACCGCGAGCTGAAGCGGGATCGTAGGTACCTGAAGACGAGGTTGACGTCCAAGTCTTGCTCCCATTCCTCTTGGGTAAAAGTAGCAGGCAATGGGGTTGACTCATCCCTCGTCAAAGGCACGGGAGGATCCGACTGGGGCCGGGTAGCGGGGATATTGATGGGGCGCGCGTGTTGGACCATTGTTGGCTGGAATTCGGGCATCTTGGTCGATGCTTCTCGTACCACGGGAGCCATTGCCGTATCAGCGCTCGACTCTGGTATAGCTGGCAGGCCTGCGTAAGGAATAGGCATTTGCTGCATGCGAGTGTAAGTCGAGAAGGCACCAGGATGGTTGTGCGGCGAAAGCTGATTGACCATCAGGCCAAGCTCTTTTGCGACACGATCCAACGCCCGCAGTTGCCAAGATGAGTCATTGGACTGTTGAGTGGGTGTGTTGGATAAATCTGCGCCCGTCTTGGGAGTTGTTGACAAGTCATCGTCTGACGGCAGTTGCTCTCCGAGCAAGATTGAGAGTAACCTCTCGTCGATGCCCAGGTCGTTGAGGACCTTGTGGGTAATCCTGGCAAGCAGGCCCCGCTCATTGTCCTGGGTGTCGGTCGACTCGTAGTGCCAGTCCATACTGTCAGCGTCGTCTTCGTTTCCAATCACACTCAAGCTTGCAACATCCTCGGCCTTCTTTTCTTCTGTCGTCACCGTTGGTCTGACTGAGACCATGGACTGCCGCCGACGTCTGGTCTCCCTACTAATTTCCTCTAATAAGATGCGACTCTGCTCCAGTCGCCAAGCTTCGATTCTCTGCATCGTGTGTGTCTCTTGTTCCTGCTCTATTTCCATCTCAAGCTGGGCTAGCTCAAGACTCTCGCGGCGCCTTCGCACATGTCTGGGGTTGAATCTCTCAAATGCATAGAGCTGCTCCTGGACTTCAGGGTTATCTAGCCTGAACGAGCCCAGGCCATCATGTGTGGGGAGTACGGGGACACTTTGCGCCCCAGCAGCACCAGCAGAATGTGTGTAGAGGCTTGGTACCGTCCTGAATTCGGGGAGATGGCTGTCGAGGCTGTCGAGCTCAGCATCGTCCTCGACTGATTCTTCGTCGATGGCACTCGAGAGGACTCCCGACTGCCGGGACTCTGTGTCGCGGGCCGAGTGTAGGAACGTGTTGAGGCTACCTATGTCACTGAGTCTTGATCGACCCGGTGTGGGAAGTGACTCTTCCTCTTCGCTGAGATAGGAAGAAGCTGTCGTCGTGTCATCGGCTGGTTCGAAAAGTACCCACGAGTGGGAGGCATCGGTAGCAGCAGGATCTTGGATGTGGAGTTGAGGAACGTCGCGCTCCTCCTCTTGCACAGGACGGGCAGCACGCTGCTGCGACGGCCGCCGGGTAGGTTGATGGAAAGCCATAGTGTTTGTGTTGTTAGCAAGTCGCAGATCTTGCACAAACACAAGCTGAAGGGGTATGTAAGTAGTTGAGTTGTGTTCGTCCGATAAAGGATGGGCGAACAATCACGATAAGGCCCCCCCCAGTCGCGGTATCGCAGTGACGCCTCGATAACGGCGCCCCGTATTAACAGCGTGTTTAGTTCAGGTGTTGTATGTTTGTCGTTTGACAACGTCCCAAAGTCGGTGAACAGAAGGACTTCAAGGTCGAGGTCGATCAGGAATTCATAATAGGAAAGAGGTCAAAAAGTGGTCGGATACAGGCCACAGACAGGATATATGTGGCAGCAGTCTACTGGAACCAACAGCGGACAGGAAGGAAGGAAGAAAGCGGGATGGATGATAAGAAGAGGATAAGGGGGGGTGTGAGGGGTGGATCTCTCCTACTGGGCTACAGCCAGAAAGCAGAGGATGACGGTGGATGGGTCTGTCACTGATTAAGGCGTCACCGACTAAAAAGGGCGAGTGCGGGCCAAGTACCTCAGTACACAACACCTACCAGTTCGGTCATGTACCTTGCACCGCGCGCCGTTACAAGTAACCCCGAAGAAGTTCGCCAACTCGGCGGGACGGCGGGCCAGGCGCGGTGTTCTCAGACAACAAACTCAAGCCGAGGAGACACAGAGACATACAGAGAGCCTAAGGGAAAAAGCAGATTGGAGAAGCCACAAGTGTACGGCTACCTACGTTACTGGAGTCTGGAAGGGTTGGCCAGGCGGGTGAATGGCGCAGGGTCGGAGTGAAATGGGGTGTGGATGATGTGCTCGCGTGCGGCGGGCAAGGGATCCAAGGAGAAAACCACCACATCAACTCCATGGAACCTTTGACTTTGATCCATGACTCTGGGACATTCCGGTTGTCGGTTGTGCAGATAGGAGAAGAGGAAGAAGAAATAAACGCAAGGTGGGGATTGGAGAAGTACCCAAGTCCCAAGTTCCAACCGCTCAGCAAGCTTTGAGGAGGGGAATAGGTACAAGCTTTGGACTACCGGTTTTGATGCTCCGTCCTGATCTGAGGTAGTTTGTCTACTTAAAAGGGAAGGCCAGAGATCATCAAGACGTCCATCCGCCATGCTTCCCCCAGAGTGTCAGAATGCCTGAGCGCCCAAAAAGTGACAACCCACTCACCCACCTCATACATGGACAGACTTGTAAGCTGGGCTGATTTGACTGACGAGGTGCTGATGGCGTTAGGGCCCTCTTAGAGACTGGCTGGCTCGCCGTCTACGGGCTACGCGGAGGGTCTGCCACACCTTTTCCGTATGCAATAGTTCAGATGCGCCCTGAGCGGTGGACATTATGATTGATGAGACATGGCGGTAACACTCGAATGGAGGGGGTAGCTCTAAACTCTGTTTTGTTTTTTGCCCTGGTAAACGTAAGTTAGAGCGCTTCTGGAGCGGATACGGGCAAGACGGGATAGGGAGAGGTTAGGTTATGTTCGTGTCATTTCTCGGGGCATGTCGAAATCATACCGCCAGCTTCGCACGACGGTTGCAGATACGCCTAGCAGATGGAGCCAACATCATCCCAAGAACACCTTCCAAACTGGAGACTACGAATTATGGAGCCTTTTCTCCTTGGCCAGTTCTTCCTGTAGAATAGCATCTGTATCGTACGTAAAGCCACCGAGGGGTTGGTGTCACGTTGGTGGCTATCTTTTCCCGACCAACAAGCAGATCCATGCTTGCCATGATGCCCTCTTTGTCAGTCGCAGTCTACCTAGGAAATCCTATCGAAATGGAAGACAACCGCCCACCAGCTTATCACCGAGATCAATGCTCCTCCCAGCTCCGAGTCTACTTTGATATGCTAGGGCCCCATTCAGCATCGGAAGGGGGAAGGAAAAGGAAAGAAAAGTTGTCCAATGTGTCACCTATTCCACTCTGGATGCTCTGGAAACTGACTCTTTTCGCTCATTTTCGGGTAGTTGGCGTCCATCATGCCGACTTTCGGAGCAAGCTTGGGGAGGTTCCTCGAACCTCTCACGAGTCGTAAACTCTCAGGAGTCAGAAGGTCCCAAAGGTACTTTCCGGTCTCCTCAACCAAACAACCCGGGAGAGTCTAGAGCCCAGAAAGACATTTCAAATTTCGCGGACCGGTACCTACCTCCCTAATCCCAACGTCTCTCCAAGAAGTCTCACACCGAGCACCATCCGAAATCCCGATAACGTCATTTAGGTCACCTGGGATCTCGGTGGGACCTGATCGCCGCCCACACTGCACCACCACACCGTCCCCCTCCTGAGTCCTACTACTGAGAGACTTGGATTGTCGGCTCGACCGTCTGCTTGTTCCAGGTTCTCCGTTGGTCGGTGTCTGCACCCCAATCTCATTCCCGCCAACCAGCCCTTCGCCCCCAGATCTGATGTCGGCCTCTGACTGGCGTGCACCCGTCCCGTCGCCCTGCGCTTACACCTGCTGCTGCACCTCTGACAGGGCGCTGCTGTTCAGGCGGTTTGGCGGGCTGTTCCTGCACTGGCTCCCAATACTACGATACATAACCGCAGTTACGCAAGTAAGATGCTATTCTTGCGTACTTTGTCCATACGATGTATCCAGGACCTGTGTTCGTAGAATCTCAGCTCACGGTGTCTGATTCAGCCGTTGCGCTTACGAGATCACGGTCACTTTCCGGGTCCCCGGGAGAAAAGGGACAAGAATTTTTTTTTCTTATTTCCTTTTCTGCTGAGCATTTCTCAGCATGAATTACGTACTATTTGCCTCACAGAGGCTCCATTTCATACAGCATCAAACCTCGCCACTTTTTGAAAATTAGGGGGTGGTTCCCTCTCAGTGACTCCTGTCGGTGTCAAAACATCCTAGGCGAAGCTGAGCAGATGATGGTTGGAGGGGTTCGTCGGCGTGACCCAGTTGAGGCCATGCCCGCCGCCCTCGTGGTGTCACCCTCTGCTGCGGGTGATCCACGGGCTCTAAGTGTCTGGCACGGCATGTCACTTTGGAAACTTACCATTTCAGGTTGACATCATCTTTGGTTCAGCCTCACGCATCTTGGCTCTCTGCAGGTCTCAAAAAGATGGATGGTATCTGTTTTTATTTCCCGCTAGGCTCGATCATCAAGCGTCTTCTAAAGCCCAACTCATGAAGCTAGTACACAGTTGATAATTCCGTTTCCATTCGTCATGTAGCATAGAGGCATGATGTGTGAAGTGTCAATGATTGAATTCCTATCTAGAGTCTGCCGCGGCATGACTCTCATCATGTTGACATGCAACCACTTTAGACGCCAGCCCGTAGAAACCCAAATCCCAGAAGAAAGCCGAAACCACTAACTTAAGCCTCGGAGGCGAAAGCATCGGGGAAGCGCTTCATGTTCTGCTCGAGGGAGCCGTGGTTGGCAAGGAACTGAACGTAGGCACCATCGACCTTGACGCGGCCAGCAGCCTTCTTCTCGAGGTACTCCTCGCGGCGAAGGGGGGTGAAGCCCCAGTTCTTGGAGATAATGATTTTCTGGCGACCGGGGAACTTGTACTGGGAGCGGCGGAGGGCCTCAAGGGCAACGGCCTTGTCTGTTTTGTGTGTTAGTGACATCATTTTCCCGCTGGTCTCTGAAGGGAGGTGAAACGTACTGGAGTCACGAGTGCGGATGGACATGATGATCTGGCCAATGTTGACACGGGCGACAGTGCCGTTGGGCTTACCCCAGGCACCACGCATACCAGTCTGAAGTCTATCGGCACCGGCGCAAGACAACATCTTGTTGATACGGACGACGTGGAAGGGGTGGGCGCGGACACGGAGGTGGAAGGACTCCTTTCCGGCGGTCTTGACGAAGTACTTGTTGGCGCAAATGCGAGCGGCCTCGAGAGCCTCGGAACTCAGCTGCTCGTACTCGTTGGAGACCATGTGGATGCAGAGAGGGAAGTCATCGACAGTCGCCTTCTTGCGGCCAAGATCGAAGATGCGAATCTTGGGGTCGGGGACACCGCGGTTGAAGCGCGACTTGGGGTACGGCTGAAGAAATGAACAGTTAGTATGACGACCGAATTCTGGATATCTCCCAAGCTTGCGATAATCCCCTCCATCCCGCTTCATCAAGTGCGTCACTCCTTTCTTCGAAAATTCAGAGTAGCTGCCAGCTTCTCCACCAAAATGTCGCCTGTTCCTAAGCAGCACTTTGGTCCTCCTCTTTCGATGCGTGGGATTTCGTGGGATGTCGGAATTCGCGGGAGTCCAGGATTTGACGGAAGTCGCTCACCTTGTTCTTGCAGTACCGGTAGCAACGAGCGGGACGACGGGCCATTTTGACGGTATTGAGATCTCACGGGATCACTCGTTACTGCTATGTGTTGGTTAGTTGGTGGGTTGGGAATCGTCTCCAAAACCTGGGCGTCACTCACTTTTGAATAGGTTGCGGCGATTGCGATCAGACAAGGACAATACGATTGATTTCTCAGCAAAGCGGAATGAGCAGGTGGCCATGCCGGGATCCACTTTAGGGTTAAGAGCGCGGTGAATATACATCGCTGATTGGATGCGCCTTGCCGAAGTGACTCCCCGGCGTGTGGGGCTTACAAATCGAAAAAATAAACTCCAAAACTCCGCGATCTTTTTTTCCTCTGCGAACGACAACCAGCCTCAACGCCCAGCGACCACCAGACCTAACTACCCAGCCAATTCACCCGACAAATCATTCGCAATGGCTCCCGTTAAGAAGGCGAAGAAGGACCAGAACTCCATCAACAGGTATGCTGATTTGCATCCAGAACGTCGTGATTTGGCAATGGTCTAACCCCGTCATAGCAAGCTTGCTCTTGTTGTCAAGTCTGGTCGCATCGTGCTGGGATACAAGGAGACCCTCAAGACCCTCCGCACCGGCAAGGCCAAGCTCGTCCTCATCGCTGGCAACACTCCTCCTCTCCGCAAGTCTGAGCTCGAGTACTACGCCATGTTGAGCAAGGTCCCCGTCCACCACTTTGGTGGCACCAACGTAAGTAGTTCTCGCATCGAAGGGAGCCGGCACTGCCTCGCTCCCTGCCTTCTCTTGCTACCGATCTCGAAGACCTCTAGTCTCTTGGTCAACCCAGCGAAGAAGTCTCTCAGGCTTTGGAGGGTGAATAAAGCTAACTTGCTACCCCTCTTCAGATCGAGATGGGAACTGCCGTCGGAAAGCTCTTCCGCTGCGGTACCTTGGCCATCATCGATGCCGGTGACTCCGATATCCTCAGCGACCAGGTTGCTTAAGTGGATTGAGTCCGGTCTGGCTGGTAACGGCGTTGGGGAATATGGTCGAAGGAAAAGGAAAAATGCATCCCAGAATTCGGGATCGCGGCTTGGGATACGCCGCTATGATACCTCGGGATTGTCAAAAGGACATGACTTCATGACAGATCATAGGCACTTTGAATCAAAAAGAACACGCCTGTTACTCAGCCATTTTACGATGCCCTTTGGTGTTTTTGGGCTACGATGATTGTTGAACACCGAATAACAACCAAACGGGTATACTTTAACATGAAGAAATCTGGGAAGGTGAGGTGCACTGTGCCATGCTAGCCCCAGTAGCAATATGGCAGCCAAAGGCGAGGCAGTAGCTAGCCGCCATTGACTTAGGAAGGAATTCCTCGCTGCTGTCGAGTGATTCTTTACTTCGATATCACACCTCAATCCGGCCTCGGCGCCAGGGACTTGACCATTATAAAGTTGGTTACCTGTCCCGTCATCCCTGTGCTTGGAATGTAAGCAGCATCTGGTTGTCGAGTCTGTCGAGCCCAATGCCTGCCATTTTACCGGCTCATGGTCGGGAAATTGGCCAGAGGTCTGACAGGGCTTCTAAGCCTTGAACCTGAATCTGGAAGGCCGTCAGAAGTTTTGCATTGATGGCAACATAAGAATAATTTCACGGTTCCCACCACGGTGAGTTCTAGCCGGTCCCGTGCAGAGTGCCGTCCAATGACTCGATGGGATCCCTGGGTACAAAGACGGGCCGAGCCCACTAACATCGACGGGCTCCGCATTCTGACTGCTCACCACGGGGAGAATAGGGGTGCAGGGTGCGCGAGACCCCTACCCACTGCGTGTGCTTGCTAAGACAGCTTGGTGGCTTTCTACTACTGACAAGTACCTGACTGCCGGTGCTCCTGACAGGTAACCAGCAGACGGCCGGAGTACAGACAGCGAACGTGACCAAGAGCTACTCACCAAGGGCAATGCCTGGCTGTCTGGACAGCGAAGGAGGGTGTTTCAGTCGAGGGCCAGAAAGCATTGTGATCCTATTCGTTCATAACGGTTCTTGCGGTCTATGTGTTATTATTATTGAGAGCGCGATGGGATGGTATTACTAAAGTGTATTCGATCTATAAACGTACTTGGGAGTCCTCAATTTCATACATACCGGCCATCTAGAAACCGAGGAACCCAAGAATCCGGAAAGAAATCATACATCAAAGAAGGTTATCATTCATCCCATCTAAACCAAAGACGAGACGGCGTCTGCAGCATCTCATTCGCAGCGCTGGCCACTGCCTGACACTGCCGTCATCGCCCGCCATCCACCCAAGCTGCGAGCACCGAGTGACCAAGAGAAGGGACTGAAACGAGAGTTACCTCGGACGCATCCCAACGAGTGTAGTCTCAGCTCAGCGCAACGCAACGCAATACGGGACCGAACAAGAGACTGAAGGGCAAGAAAGGGATTCATCGAAAATAGCACGCCAGAGAAAGTTTCCGTTGCCTGACCTACCACACTATAAGTTACGCCGTCAAGAAGGTGTCAAACCACCCAAGAGTTCCACGGTGACCTACCCGCACACTTCCTCCAGGTACCTACGGATAGGCTTTGCTACCTTAGATGACGGTCAGTCTTCAGAGGCGTTCGCAGGTAAAGTTAAGTTAGTGCGTCCACGGCATTCCCGTCTTTTGCAGTCTACACTCTGCAGGGCGCTCAAGCAACAAGCAACGCAACCCGGCGAAAACGTTTAGTGGCGCCGGGGTTGGAAGGGTGAAGAGCATTGTTCTCGTTCCATTCCTCGTTTCCTGGTTGGCCCACGTCTTCCCCTTCCTGCACGGGCTAGCGAATTAGACCCCCTGGAGCAGCCCCGAAATATCGGAAATTCACTGCAACCTGTGGACTGGACAACCGACACCGACACCGACACTCGCTGCACTTTCCCCTGAAAGAAGAGAGGAACCCAACCTAAGTGTCTACTGTGTACTTGGGAATACAAAGTACTTGTCTGAGAGGCACTTCCACTTCCTGCTGGGCTGACACCGTCTGACTTAAGCTTGCAAAGCTGCTGCTGCTGCACACCCTCCCGTTCTGCACCGCACTCCTATTTGGCTACTATTTGCCTTTCGCATATCTGGGGAGCCCAACGATCGACAACTTTCCCGCTGTTGTGTGTTCCGCGTCACCTGTTCCAAGAATAAGCAACTACATACATTTGGTGAGATAGCCTCTTCTCCCTGGAACGGAACATCGTCACTACAGAAATAACTTTCCGCACTGCCCTTGACCGCCAACTCTCTTTTTTTTTTTTTTTTTCCCTCTCCTCTCGACGAGTCTCCCCGCTTACCTCCGTTTCCCCAGGTAACCCTCCGCTGCGCACTACAACAACAATCATCGCCACAACAAGCCCTCACCGCGATACCATGTCAGCTGCCACAGCAAAGAAACCGCCCGCTGCGGGCGTCGGTCGCGTTTCCTCGACAGATTCTGCATCAACCCCTTCTGCTTCTCCTGCGAGAACGCCAACGCGATCCTCCACGCCCACGGCTGCTTCTGCTGCGCGCAGAGCACCAGCTCGCTCAGGAACTCCCGTTTCCGCTCGTGCAGCTGCAACAAGACGGGATTCTGTCCTGAGCAACGGCAATGGCAATGGCAGTTCTGAGGCCGAGGAGGCTGCCAGAGCCGAGACCCTTGCGCTGTTGGACGACCTCAAGGAACGCCTTTCCAAGGCCGAGATCTCTTCTGATCAGTACAGGAAACAGGTCGAAGTGCTGCAGACGAGATTGGACGACGCAATCAAGGAGTCTTCCAAGCTGGAGGAGAAGGTGCATGAGACGGAAGAGCAGATTGAGACGCTGCGAAATGAGAAGAGAGATGCCGCCAAGAAGATGCGTGAGATGGAAGCAATCTACGAGGCCGAGCGAAGCTCCATGACCAAGGAAAAGGAAGAAATGTCCAACAGAGAGGAGGAGATGCAGACCATCATCCAAAGACTGAAGGACAACTTGTCGCAGCGGAATGACGAGGAGGGCCGTCCTTCGAGGCAATGCAAGTTTTACCCTGTCAAGCCAGAAAGCCCAAAGCTAACAGTCCTCCAGCTGCAGCAACATCTCCCAACGTTGACAACGGCAGTTTCGCCCCTCCTTCGTCCCTCAACCGCAGCGACTCACGGAACAACTCGAAGCTTTTGCTCCAGAAGGATAAGCTGATCGAATCTCTGCGGCTCGAACTTGCCGAGGCCCAAATCAAGCTGGTCGAGTCTGAGAACCAGGGTGGCGGCAGACTGCAGGAAGTCGAACGCCTGCTGATGGAAGCCCGCATGGCCAACGCCCGCCTCATGGAAGATAATGAAAGCTACCAACTGCTTCTTCAGGAAAAGACGCTCAATGGCGATTTCTCTAAGAATGATTTCAGCTACATGGGTGTTTCCGCCAACCAGGATGCGCTCAACGCGCTGGAGGGCCGGTCCGGAGGCGCAAGCTTGGCAGATGAGCTGTCCGAGGATGCATCAGATGCCGGTGGTAACGACAACGAGCATGCCCGCCGCCTCGAATCGGAGCTCAAGTCCATGAAGGACCAGAATAAGGCGTTGACCCTCTACATCAACAAGATCATTGAGAGGCTCCTGCAGCATCAGGATTTCGAGCACATCTTGGATACATCCACCGAGATCAAGCCGGCTGCAAACACCAACAAAGATCTCCCCGCTCCGCCGAAGGAGGGCGCTTCCGGAGCGTCGCTACTGCAACGAGCCAAGACCATGGCCGTCGGCCCGAACAAGCCCAAACAAAGGCCCATGTCTTACATGCCATCGGCCCAGCCAGCTAACTCGGCACATACGGACCCAGAGACGGCGCCTCGCATTCCTATCGGGAATATGACCCGTTCCTCCAGCACCCGCCGAGCGCGCCCGATGAGCGAGCAGTTCACTGGTGTCAACCTCGTCAACCAGATGTATCGGGGACCGGATGGACCTATTTCCCCGCCCCTCGGCTCCCCTCGTACTCCGCGAACGTCGCAGACCTTCTTCGGTGGCAACCCCAACGCGGCTGCACGGGCACCCAGCGGCCAGCAAGCACCCACAGCAGGTAACTTCCCTGGCATGCGCAGCGAGACCTCGAGCACCAGCGGCGACTCGAACGATCTGACGGGTACGCCTCCCTCGCAATCCCCTCCGCGGTCTCACCACGAGAAGCAGACCACCTTCGCTGGCAACAAGCCTCGTCCTCTACGCCTGGTGCAGGAGAACAACGAGGCCAAGCAAGAGAACAACAAGCGATCCAGCTGGATGGGCTGGGCCTCCGGCTGGGGCAAGAAGGAAGAGGGCGCCGCTGCCCCCGGGTCCAACGAAGCCATCCCCGAGTAATCGGCACATACTGACGCCGTTATGTTTATGACCTCCTTCTTTGCTTTGCATCGCATAGATTTCTTCCCTCTTATCCAACTTATCTTAGTACTGGACTTTGGCATTGTTGGATGAGAAAAGCAAAAAAAAGATACAAGACGGGATACCCCCTGATCTGCGCTGCTTGGTTTTCTCTATCCACACGGGGTCTCGGTTGGCATTTGCGGGTAGTGTACGAACGAAACATTGGGTCTGGAGGCGCTGTCCATTTTGTGGATATTATTGTTTGGCTTCTTTCCTCTTCTTATGGCTATATGTTTATGCCTCTTTATATTTTGGGTTCTAAACACTACACTATATCTACCCTTCAGTTTTCACAGAGGAAATGAGGCAGGCAGGTTCATTTTGTATGGACTGCAGGAGATGTGGATGGTTGAGGTGGAGAGGGGAGCTTCCCTGGCGGTGTTTTGCTTCTTCTTCGATCATGAACAGGCAGCATTACCTTGAATGGGTGCTGGAAACTTGATGACAAGCGTCTGCTACTACGATATGGCTTTACGGATGTATGAGTCCTTTTGGCTGTGGCCGGGCTAGATGCAATGTTGGATAGATACATGAGTAATGCTAAGATGGCTTGACGTTAGTTAGACTTTTGTTCCTCGTCTCTCGTAATATTTGTGATGTCGTGACTTGGTATGTCCAGTGAATGTTTCGTCCAGCCTGAATGCCTGGGCCAGGGTGTATGATTTGTGAGATTTTTGACCCGCGACAAGGCCTAGCTGTCCAAGAGGTGTTTTATAAGGAGCATCTTCCGTCATGCCCAAGGTTGAAGATGGCATGAAAAATTTTGTCGATGGTAAATAGTCATTCAACCCTCATGAAGGCTCAACCTCTCTCTCTCCATACTCTTCCAGGAAACACCCCTTGCTCGGCCACTTTCTTTCTCTTCAGAATTCACATCAACTGTGATCCCATCTATCTTGTCTGTCTTCATCCGTCAGGCTGTCCGACTACACACATTCATAGACACAACTTCTTTCTGGAAACCAACTCGACAGGGCCTTTGGTAGTCGAATGATACGGAGTAGGGTACCGACCCCTTTCTTCCCGCCTTGGTGCGTTGCCAGCCCGTTGAACAAAATAAACATGCTTCGTCTTCGCTCAGCCGGATACTCTATTGCGGAAATCCGGGGGAGCATAGAAACACTCCATCCAGGCTGCTTCCAACTGTTTATTTCCATAGGAACGTAACCATTGCTTACAGGTGAGCGGTCTAGACTTTTCACACTACGGTGATCTCATCTTCACACTTTGTTACTTCTGTTCCGATTCACTGACACTAGGGCTCGATGTTGTAATCTGTAAGGTCTTTTCTCATTCGATTCTTTATTCATGTGGTTTCAGCGCTGTCCAAGCGACTACAACCGGCTGCTGCCGCTGCCGACAAAGGCGTCAAGCTTCTTCTGGTCGTAGACGTCCGCCTCGACCAGTTTCTCCCACTTCTATTAATTTACATTGGTTAGTAGAAGCTACTACACAGTCTTTCTCATACATGGTGCAGTATAGGAGTCGCCTGCTCTGTGAGGAAGAGATGGAATGATGGGGTTTTCGAAAGGAACAGCAAAAACGCACCTTGTCTCCTGAGACCTTGATGAGGGTGGGCAGATTAGTCACGTTGAAGGGCGCCTGTCTCCACGGGTTCTCCTTTGTTCTCCATCTGTCATGAAAGTAATCATCAGCAAAAAAAATGGCATTTTCAACGACCCTTTTTGCGGGAATGATTCCCGCAGATGATATTCAATATGAGAAAAAAAGTGGTAGTTTTGTTCATGCGACTAGTACACACGAAGAATGGGGGAATCAAGGTGCCCGGGGTAAGTCCAACTCACTCATCGGGCAGCCCCGCGTACACGACCCGAACGGTCTCTTCGCCGCCGCCGAACTTCTTCTCAATGTACGGCTCCGCAGCGGTGCAGTCGCCGCACCACGACCTTCCGTTGCGATGCGAGGCGTAGACGACGAGAAACGCCGGCTTGGTCTCGCTGGCCTCGGCCACAAGAGCCGCGGCGACGGCCGAGGCGGGCTCCTTTGTGGTGATGACGGGCATGGTTTTGTCTCTCTCTCTCTCTCTCTCTCTCTCTCTGTGTGTGTGTGTGTGTGTGTGTGTGTGTGTGTGTGTGTGTTGTTTTTATCAGGCTGAGAGTTTATGCTTAATACAGGCGAGTATTTAGTTCAAAGTGGACAGAAACAAAATGACTCGATTGCTGTCATATGACTTGGGGGGAAAGGCAGCGAATGGCATAATACACTCAATAGTTTGCGTTATTTCGCGGAGTGTTCATGAACACACAAGATGGCATGTCCCGAAGCTTATCCGACTGCCTCACAAAAATTTGCCCTTCTTGAGCCTGGCAAGAAATCACCGACGCCTCTCTTGTGAAGGGGGAAAAAAATGGGCACTGTTAATTACCGACTCTGGCTATAATGAGAGTTGATGATGGACGTAAGTAAGCCTTCGCATTTGCAAAGCTGAAAATTCGCCAGCCCGCTTGAGTATAAGAAAGACGGCAACCCTGCAACACAAAGTCTAGTAAAAACCACTGACCTGTACGAACATTGTCCAGGAGTTCAAATGACTGAACAACTCGCTCTATCGACAGAGAGTAAAAAGGGAATATGACAACTGTGAGATTCGAACTCACGCCTCTTTCGAGACCAGAATGCTCCCTGGTACCAGGGAAGACGTAGGCTGATTTTAGACAGCCCGTTATCTTGAGTCTGGCGCCTTAGACCGCTCGGCCAAGTTGCCCGTTTCCGAATCACTCGCAGGATCTCGAGTGGATCAGATGTGGATACCAGTTTACGGTGCAGAGGAGCCTCAATAACCCTCTTTCTTCTGTGAGTCTTTGTGCCATCGTGACCCCCTCTCCTCTGTTCCCTTTCCCCCCCTCCATCTCCACCGGGAAATAATTCTGCCTTGGTCGGTCTGGCACATTCATCACCGGGTGCCCTGTACTGAGAGAGCCGGGTTCCATAGCATGTACCATACTCCGCACCCTGCACACCCCGTACGAATAATCCGAGGGCCATACACAAAAAAGCAAACAAGAGATATGCACAAAAAAAAAGCAGAGATAGAGGGTTGCGGTGGGCCCGGCCCGCCTCCGATCGGAGAGGTTAACTCGCAGGGCGCCCGGGCATCGACCCCTCCTGAACACCCCCCCCCCCACGTTGCTTGGGGGATCTGTTTACTTTAACCCACAGATCGTCCCCTTGTGATGTAAAGGCGGTCAGGGGAAAGCCCTCGTCCTTTTGATGAGCTGCCAGCTGGCAGGGTCATGCGAGATGCACACAAACATGTTTCGGGATGGGGCCCTGGGTGCATGGTTGCGGAGGGGAGTCTGTTTACCTATTCTCAGGTCTACAGGCTGGCCAGTGGCCAAACAACTGAGGCTCTGCCCATGTCATGATTGTCAATATGTGTGGGCCTCGTGAGACGGAGCAAATCGTCAGGCATACTCTATGGCAAATGAATGCCCAGTCTCAGGAGAGCTAGTATCGGCATTCTCTAGCTGTCTACCTAGCTCTGGGCTACCTTATCCATCGCAAACCTCGCCAAGACTGCACAACCTCCATGTCAAAACTGACTTTCTTGTTTTCGTCGCGCACCTCTGTGAGCGGTCTTCTGATCTCCTCTGTTGGTCGTCAAGTTTCGTTACAATTACAACAGCGTAGTTGCTACTTTTCCCTTTCTAATGAACCCAAGAGCTGAAAAAGGCCGTTGCAAAGAAGATTCCCATACTGATAAAGAAAGCAACGCAAAACCCAAATGTCCTAATCCTTGCCCCATATGAAGAACGGTCCTGTGCCTGAATGAGTGCATTTCGCTGTCCTGTCCTGTCCCGTGATTTGCTGTGCCGAGGAATGGCATGTGGTCCACCAAAGTCGTGGTCTGGCTGGATGAAGAGAATCAAACGCAAGAAACAATAGCTGCGTGAAAACGCGAGCTGGAGATGGAAGAGTCATCGTGATCAACGATGCTCTCAATAAGAAAAGTATATACAGTTCGCTTTTGGCTGTCTTTGTCCCTAAGCATTTGTTGCTGGAAAGCCTCGCTCAACGCCGCTTTTCCCCCTGAAATACTATGCTATGCCATGCACGCTCAATATACAGAACAAGTTGACAAAGAAAATGATCGAATGTGCCGACTTCCAGTGAGGGAGATACCCTACGGTTCAAGACCAGGTACTTCTCCAGGGAGTGTTGTGTTTGGTCGGAGAGAGGGGTCGTTAGCCGAGTTTGGCTTGACTGTTGTTCTGCCAGAGATTGGTGCGCTTCTGACCCGCTGGCTCAACGGTAAAGAATAACGGACGACACCTTTGACGATCAAGTCGAACTCATCCTGGATGATACGACCCCATCGCTCAGAACCTCCAGCAGAGTGGTTGCCTGGAAGATGGAGTCTCATGGTGCCCGTCGATGCCGATACACCCTTATTGAAGAAAGAACCCTCAAAAGATAGCGGGCTATCAAACTCCATAATGGTTCCGAGTCGCATGTTTGGAGCATTGTCTTCGTCTGGTGGATCGTCGGGGGGATCATCTCGAATATGCATGTCTGGGTCTTCCAACTCCCCTTCATGTGGCCGCTTCCACCAGTCAAAGTCGGTGCCCGCGTGAGGCGACTTTGCAAATATCTCCAGATTCGCCTGATCGATAGAGACAACCACGATGTTGGGGTTGTGGGCTTTGACAGTCAGGTCGAACATCAATTCTGGATCACTAGCCAAGACGTTCTTGACAGAGACCAACTGAATGTCTGTCAGCGGCTGCGAGGTTGCGAACATGAAGCCGATTGCGCCAGTAATGACGAGAAGCAACATCATGGTGACAACCAAACAAGCTGCGAATCGATTCAGATAGGATGGTTGTTGCCTGTACGCCTGTGATTCGAGGTTCCGCAGATTTGCAGGTTGACGTCTGCTCCTCCTGGAAGATCTGACTGTAGACGAAATCAATGGGGTGCGCTCGTCGTCAGCGCCAGTGGTCGTAGTATCGTCGGCTGCATCATAACGAGCCATCTGAATCGACGATCGCTTTCCGAGCGCGTGAGGTCCACCTCTAGCGGAGCTCGCAACCCTAGGACTAGGAGGGCCGGATGACTGTCTCGAGGTGTTGCCCGAGAGCTTAGACCGAGCCGCATTTGGAAAGA